ACATGTCACAATCCTCTAGTGAGGTGTTGTGAGTTACAAAAAAATACATTCATTTCACATGTTTCCAATGCTACCAGCCTTACAACCATCTCACCCATTGTGACCAAGGGTTGGCTGGAAACCCACACGACCAAAGTTCTCATTCCAACAAGCAAGAACAAGTGCTTATAGCACAACTATTTTGGGCTGTCACAAGGCTTACATGTCAAGGCTTAAAAGCAAGCACTGCACAGGAAAATGCGGAGGAATAGGTACAACTTCACTTAAGCTCGGAGCACATAACTTCGACCTCCCGTCAATTTCCCACAGTCAGATCAAGTCAGATGGTGATATGCAATTTCACTCAATTATTAATTTGAAGCCAATGTTTGGACGTGGTTAGTACCTGATAATGTTAAGTGATGATTTGTGATGCAAAACGACCAAAAATTGGAGGGAATGCATTGTGTTTTGGCTGACTTCAGATCCAAGAATGATCACACTTTGATCGCTCATGATTCACACATTTTGCAATGATTCTTCACACGTATGACCTCCATTCACCTCAGCTATAAATAAAGCTATCATTTGCACTGAATTCCAAGCTTAGAGTGCCCTCATAACCTCTGCTCGAGCTCCCAATTTGCACTAAATTTTTGAGTTTTTGTTTTCAAATTCTAAGCTCTTTCAATCTTGTTTCTTGATTTCATTAGCATCTTCGGTCTCCTCTGAAGCTTTTGCAACAAATACCAAGCTCTAAGACTCACTAAAGTGCTCTGACCAAATTAAGCTTTCAACACCTTCGATCATCATTTGAACAAGGTAGTTCTGAGCATCTTTTGGACTCAAACAAGTTACCACAATGTATCCTCACTCTCTCTTATCGTTTCCCATAACTTACCTTGAGTTGATTTTTCACATTTTCCATTTAATTTCTCTTTTCGTGTTTTCATTTTTCACTGAGTTTCCTTCAAATTCTCTCTGCTCACTTACAATCAATGGAAATGAGGCATAAGGTTGAGTTCACACTGATGAAACTGTCACAATGGTGGTGGTTTTGTGACCTAAGTTTGAAAAATGTCAAACTCCGGTGAGCAACTCACTGGAGAAGATAACCGAAAGTGCTTCCACAGTGGCCTGAATTTGTTTTAATTTGAAAATTATCCAACACGTGTTTTTACTTAAGGTCCACCGTGTCTTTTTTGATCTTGGCCTTTGGATCTATTTTAAATGATATCTGATGGCAACACGTGTGTTTGATCCCTAGTCTTTGATCCGATCTGGTGGTTTTGGTTTTTTGTAGCTTTTTATTTCATTTTATTTGTTTTTAATTTCTCATTTATTTTGAAAAATCATATAAAATAGCTCCTTCAGTCTTTTTCACTCCAAATTTTTTTCATGATTTTTTAAAACTATTTTCTATCTAATGTGCATTTTTTCATATTTTTATTTCATGATTTGATATTTTTTATTATTTTTCTCATTTTTCATGCATTTTAATTTGTTTAAAAATACTTTTATGCATTTTAAAATTTTTCAAAAAATATCATATGATCCTTGACTTATTTCTGACTTATTTTGATTTTTCTTGAGATTTTAATTATTGTTTAGAGGCTTCATCTTGATTTTCCCTTTTATTTCCATTTAAAAATCATTTTTAAAATCTTTTTCATGCATTTTATTTGTTTAATATTGCATTTTAGCGTGGTTGCTGGTTGTTGCCTTGGATCATGGTTTCTTGATTAAAATTTTCCTCAATTTTAATGGAATTTGAGTGTTGATGAAGTTGGATGAATCTTCATCAATTCAAATATACCATTAAATGAATATTTGATTCATTCTTGGTCCTTTGGGTTGATGATAGGTTTAGTGCCTCAATCCACCAAAAAAGGTGATTGAAATTGATGATAAATAGATCTTAAATTTTGATTCAATTTGGTTCTTCTCTTCATCTTTACTTCTCCTTCTTTTTTCTTTTTCTTTTTTCTTGATCAATTGGATGATTTAGTGTCCATCTTGTTCATGATGTTTGGATTGATGCTCGATGAACTTTCATCATTTCAAATCTATCATTCAATTGATCAATGATCATTGGAGGTACTTTGGATTGATGCATAAATTTGTCCTAAGTTGTCATGAAGGATGATTGATGTAATTGACCAATCTCTTTGCCTTAGGGTGCATTTGGTTCGGGGTAGATGGAGGGGAGGGGAGGAGAGGGGAGGGGAAATTTTTAATTAAATATGTTTGGTTCAAATTTTAGGAGGGGATGAGAGGGGAGGGGAGGGGAGCAAAATCCCTCCAAAACACATTTTTTGGTTCCCTCCGAATTGGGGGGATTTGGAGGGGAGGGGAGGAAATATGAGTTTTAATATTTAAAAATTATTATATTTACTAAAATATTCTCAATTTAATTTCAGTATTTCAAAACTATTTATTTTCTTTCGTGTTACTGTTTTTTCTCAATTGTTTCCATCAACTTATTATAATTCTCCACCTTCAAATTATTTTATAATTTTTATACTTATTATAAATCATAATCATTGTCTTTTTTTTATAAAAAAAATTATGTTTAGTTATATTCGTTTTTTTCTTTTTATTTTGTTAGGTATTCTATCATATTTACTTTTATATCAAATTGAAAACCAACAAAATAAATACTTATTTTGTTAGGTATTCTATCATATTTTCTTTTGTGACAAATAAATATTTTTTAATCACTCAATATTAGAAATTTTATTACCAACAAAAACGCGGATGAATTTTTCACATTTTAATATCATATGACTTATATAAGATCATAAGGATAAAATTGTAAATTATTAATAAAACCCCTCCCCTCCCCTTCTGAACCAAACACATTTTTGATTAAAATCTCTCCCCTCCCCTCCCCTCCTCTATTTTGAACCAAACACTTATTTGATTAAAAAAATCCCTCACCTCCCCTCCCTTCCCCTCCCCTTTATTAAAATCCCTCCCCTCCCCTCCCCTCCCCCTCATTTGAACCAAACAGACCCTTAATGCTTGATCCCTCCTTGGTTTTTACTTGTACTACATATTTTAGGAGTATGATTTGTATCACGTCTCTAACATGTATGGTACATATAGTATTATTGACCGGTCTCCCATAGTATGATATTCCTATTAAATTGTGCTACGATTGCTTAACATAGCGCTAAATTTGTCCGAGTCGGTTCATTAACTCTAACATCAATACTAACAATATTATTGTGCTAACTTTTATTTTATTTCATTTACTTTTCTTGCACCTTTACTTTCTTGCCATTTAATTTCTTACTATTTATATTATGCTTTTACTTTTAGCATTTATATTTCATATTGTTTACGTTTATGCTTCTTTTTTCCTTTGTCCACTTGGACTTTTCTTTTCTTTTAAAGACATTAATAAAGGAAAAACTCGTAAAAACTTTAATCTCTATTGGACCATGGCTACTATCCTTTGCTTGACTTGGAGTTTAACCTATGGACTTAGAATTAGGGTTACCCATGCTTGGAACTTTCTTGATTGAAACTTGAAATTTCATCTGATATTATGCTTTGCCTGAGACCTTGAGTTCCTCTAACACATATGGCCTTGAATCAAGCTTAGAGAATTTACCTGGTTCCCTATGACTTTATTTGTCTGGATCATCTTGTGATTTTGGTCTTGACTTTTGTCAGGTGCTGGCTAGATTCTGGTTAGTTCACTTGCACACACTTGCACTTTATTGCTTTTATTAGGGTAGTCTCTTCATCTTTTCCCTTTTCTTAAATTCCCAAAATCTTCTCCCTTTTTCAAAACCGTCTTGTTTTCAAACTTAAATCACTTTCTCAATAAACTTTGACTTTGTCAATTTATTTTCAAACTTTTTTTCTTAAATAAATGTTATTTCATCTTAAGTATATCAAAACTATTTCAAAAGACTTAAAAAAACACACTACTCATTCAAACTATTTTGTGCATTTTAAAAAAAAAAAAAACTTTTTCTCAAGGATTAGACACGAGTCATTTTCATAGTTGATATGTGATTCTCCTATCCATATAGTAATGATTGAAATGATGTTGATTCTTTTCCACTTGAGAGAGCTAGTGGCATACTTGCTGAATTCTATCAGAGTTGGAGACCTTAAAAGTTATAGAAAGGTTCATTTTTACATACTTGTGGGATATTAGTTGAGTTTTCTCCTTAAAATGACAAAGTGTATTTTCATTTAAAATCAATCAAAACAAATTTTTTTGTTATTTTTACCACGAACTACGAGGTTTTGATCATCCATTGTACTTTGTGGATACGTAGGCATGAGACTCAAGAAGTCTTGTCAAACACCAAGAATCTTAAAAAATATTTCTCTTCTCATCTCCCCAATCTTTTGCAAACAACCTATTTTAAGTCAAACATAAATTTTCAAGAGGTTCCTATAGAGTACTATAGATGTTTTTGGTGCTAATATATTTCTATTGCATAATCAACCCCCTTACCCTTATCTCTCTGTTTTATTAGTTTTGTTTTAAAACTTATGTAGGTTTATTCACTCTTTTCCCATTTCTTTGAAAAAGTCAAGTGTGGTGGCGAATTAAATTAATCAATAGCTTAATATCCAATTTTTCTCCGCTACAACCAGATATTCTAAAAAATCCAAGAGGTAACATTGTTTATAAATATTCTAAAAAATTTAAGAACTCCATCATTTTTTTCATTTTAAAACATCTTAGAAAATGTGAAAAAAAAAATTACTTTTCATTTCTCTCATCACCTCTCTAAATAATTCATATTAGCTTAGTCTGCATCACTAAGATATAAGGACACTTCAACAAGTTACATATAAATCCAATCACACAAGTTCCTGAAAATCTTGAAAACAACCCACACAACAAACATTAAATACTCTACAGATCACAAAATCAGATAACTAGCACTTCAACAATTATATGCTCTATCTAATCTTTATACTTGCCAAAACCAAAATTTAGCACATATTAACAGTATTTCAGCCATATCAGTGTCAAGCACAGTGGCATTCTATCTGGCCTCTAACAATGAGATTGAAGCTTCATTTATTGAACCCTCCTTTGAAGAAGATTCCGTGCTACTTGTAAAATCTCTTCCTGCATAGAACCCGGGTTTACTTGGTTTAGGGAGTAACTTTCCACCCTTTAACATAAAAACCACAGACGACATGTTAGGCCTATTTTCTGGTTTCTGCTGTACACACAATAGACCCACGTGAATAAATCTTATTATTTCTGAACAAATGGTCGCATCATATAATACTTCATCCATTAACTCCAGTGGCCTTCCTTCAATCCATAGCCTCCATGCCTAAAATGAAAAAGAGATTATTTTCAACTATTAGTCTTGTATGAACTACTATACCTTTTTAATCTTTAACCTTAGAACATTTATAAAAATAGAAAAGAGATAAAGAAAGCAACTAAAAATATTGTCAAAAGATAGACATATACACTTCAAACTTACATGACCAAGAAGGTTTAGATGATGTAGAGGGTCACAAAATCCGCGATTCTTCCTACCGCTGATTATCTCAAGTACCACAACTCCAAAGCTAAAAACATCAGATTTTATAGAGAAAGATCCATGCACTGCATATTCTGGAGGCATATATCCACTGTAAAAAAACAGAGAAGTTAGGGAGAAAAAAACATATTAAAAGGGGTTGTCACATAACAGAACTGAAGTTTTAAATAACTCTTCAGCACCTGCAACATACAATACTAGTAACATAACTTCTCATAGAAAATAAAACCAAAATCGATGTAAATTAAATAGACTAAAGAGTTATTTAAGCCATAATTAGAAATAAGTTATTCGAAATTACTATGTTCCCATCACTCTATTTGTATTAGCTTCGGCTTGATCTCCCATAAATGATCTGGCTAAACCAAAATCTGATATCTTTGGGATCATATCAATATCAAGAAGAATATTGCTTGTCTTGAGATCTCTATGTATGATTCTTAGTGTAGAATCCTGATGGAGATACAGCAGCCCCCGAGCAATCCCATCAATAATTTCCAAGCGCTTTGTCCAGTTTAGTAATTTACTTCGCGTAGTATCTAACAAATGACTCATTCATAAGTTACAATGAAAACTTCATTATGCAAGAGAAAAACTGAGAGCAGTAAATTTGGTTGGTGTGAAAGTTCGAACCAAAAATAAAGTAATCCAAGCTTCTGTTGGGCATGAACTCGTAGATCAACAACTTTTCATCATGTTGAATAGAACAACCAAGAAGTTTTACAAGATTTCGGTGTTGAAGTGTTGCCATCAATTTCACTTCATTTTTGAACTCCTCAGTTCCTTGTCCTGATGTTTCAGATAGCCTCTTAACAGCAATCTCTTGGCCACCTACCAATATGCCCTAGTAAAAATTTTGGAAATTTTAATACTTACAGTAATTGGTGAACTAAGGGGATAAATTAACTTGGTAACCAAGACTTTACCTTGTACACTGGTCCAAAACCACCTTCTCCTAACTTGTTTCTGTTAGAGAAGTGATTTGTTGCATTAGTGATGCTTGAAAAATCAAATATTGTTGCCAAGTCAGCATCCTCCTTCTGCTTCTCCTTGTGAAATAACTTTTTTATACCTCCTGAAGTAACAATTCAAGAGGTTTAAAGTTAACAAAGAAATCACACTTCAGAATTCATTTTAAGTTGTAACTAATTCTTTTTGCATCACTATTTGAGTACTATTTAAGCACATCATAACTATTTAAGATTTACTTATCAAAATTTATCACCTGGCTTACCAAGCTTATTTTTAGATGATAATATGACCAATATAATAACCGTAAGTCCTATAATGAATGCAATAACTCCTGCCAGAGGACCAACACGCTTCAAGTTCCTCTTATTCTTTATATGATCTGGGATTGAAGTAAATGCCAGTCAAAAAGCAGGCATATAAGCTTTACCTAACAAAATTCATTTAGAACCGGTTTTAAACCGATTCGGAACAAATGGTTTGGTTTATAAACCATAACCATAAAAATGGATTGGTTCATATTAAATGAAAATACCAAATTCTGAAGATGCTAGTCGTATGTAAATATCTTGTCCTTGGTCTGGATGTCTTCTCATGTCCACAATGTTGTCAAACCAAAGTAAGCAGCCACTGCCACCATATCTGATATCCAAATTTGCATACGCGGTGCAAGAACAGTTTTTCAAACACACTGTCTTGCATTCCTCAAGGCTCAAGCTCTTGTCAAACCATGATGATGACGTATCTGGCAACTTCATGCTTGTGTACTTAAAAAATCCATCTCCATGGTGACAATTTAAATGTGTTTTCCTTACACACCCATCAGACCAATCTGATGACTCCCACTTCAGTTTAAATTTTGGCATGAAACCCTCCAAGCATTCACATATTGGAAAGTCGTTAATATTGCAGTTAGAGTTGATACCACACAAGACATAATTATCACATTGGTCTATAGGACGAGAAGATATAGCCTCCCAAATTTGTGTCCTATCTGACCATACAAGACGCTGTGAATTTCCATATGAATCTAGCACCAATCTAGTAATAGTTGAACTGTTCCTAGTTTCATATTGATAAGAGAACTCTTTGTCAGTGAACACTGCTGAGAAATTCAAGACTCTATGCATTCTTTGCCAAGGAACACCAGTGAAAAGAAATCCATTCCATGAGCCTCCTCTATACAGAAATCTTGCTCCCTTAGCATTAACCAATTGAGGTAAACCATGTGTATCTATCCTATATGAACACTCACCTTCAGCAGGATCTTCAGGGCTTCTCCAAGATGTGAGATATCTATATGGACCAGTAACTAAATTACTTTTAAGCTTCATTCCAGCAAGGAAAGTGTTACCGGGATAGTCAAAACTTTCCCACAACAAATCCTGATTCTGGCTGCTGCTGTTTGCATCTTTCACAACAAGGTTTCCTGAATCCAACAACTGCACCGCAGCTGGTTTCACCACAATTCTGGATGAATTGGAGGACCAGACAACGCCTTTCGGGTCATCAAGAATAACAAGAGTTCCCTGATCACTGAGTTTCAGCAATCCTGTTGAGTTTTGTACAGGGGTGTCTCTATTGGCAACCCACACAATAGTCCTAGGTGATATGCTCTTGTACCATATACCAAAGTATTGGCGTTGTGGATCTCCAAAGTTGAAAAATCCTGCTTCAAAAATTCCACCAGCAGAAACAAGTGTATCACTGTATTGGATAAATTGATTTGGAGCAACAGTAGTAAAGGTGTTATATTTAGAGAAAGTTGGCATAGAGCAAAAGAAGAAAGTACACACCATTAGAAGTAGCACTTTATTATGGTACTCCATTGTGTTTGTTTGTGTGGGTTTGTCATGATCACTTTCATTTTATCAAATTCTAAATTCAATTGACAAGGCTTAGTCGTCCAAATCTTCCCGTGTGCTAGCTAGTTGATGCAAATTTCAAACAAAATGAACAAGTATGTGGTGTATAATATAGCTTACTCAAATTGAAGCTTGATATGTTGACCAAATATTAATGCATTTATTTTCAAGTGAAGACTTTCTAGCCTTTTACGTAACATGGATGATGGAAAGGAAAGAGAGGGTCAAAACTCAAAAGCATGGAAATAAATTGAAAAATAGCATAAGCTGAAGGTCATTGAATACATCAAATTCAATTAGCACTAGGATCAGTTCCCATTACCCTATGACTTTGTTGGTATGTGTAGTGGTGGATTTTTGGCGTGTGTGCAAGATGAATTACAACACAAATCCTCAAATTTTTCAAGATAAAATTATGGGTGATAGAGCCTCATAAAATATCTATCATGGTTAAACCATAACAAAACAAGTCAGTGGTCTGTAAAATAATCCAATTCTCAAACAATAAAAATATAGTTGTAATTTTGAAACTTACCCTACAATCCTTCAACTTCTTTCTCTCCCAAACCCTAGCATAAACCTGTGGCCGCCGCAACAAAACGGCACCACCGTCGCCGAGCGGGAGAAGAACATGCGGCGCCATTATTCGTTCCTACTGAACACCGTAAGGTTTTTTAAGCGAGAATTAGGGCTGACAATGAACCGAACTAACTCGAAAATAGTTCGGAATTCAGTTCGACAATTAAATCGTTGAACTAGGTTCATGAACCAAATGAGATTTACATGGTATCAGATTTATCATGTTCCTAACCCTACAAATCTTTCCAGCCGCCGCACACCATCTGTTCTGCCATGGCAGAAGAAAGCTCCCACTCTCGAACATCTGATGAAACTTCATCACCTTCAAAATCCAACCCCCTCAGGCGGCATCATCCAAATTCCACTCCGCTTTCGCCATCAACAACGTCAAAACCATCATCCCGGTGACGTTGATTCTAATCTCTACCTCTCCTGGTCTGCCCTATTCAAAGTGCAGACACGCGTTCACAACGCTCTTGATCACATTATTCCGCCCTCGGAAGTCCAGACCATACAAGCATCAGCCAAACTTAAAGCTGCCGATTCTGAACTTTGGAACCGCTTTGATGCATTAGTGTTGCAATGGGTGTACGCAACAGTATCGCAGGATATTCTGCAATCCATCCTAGTCATAGACGACACTGCAGAAGAATCTTGGAAGCGCATAGCCGCTAAGTTTCATGACAACAAACACTCCCGCGCTGTGCAATTGGAAAATCAATTCAGTAACACAAACCTGGAAGATTTTCCATCAACAAAAGCTTACTGCACCCGCCTTAAAACTCTCTCGGATCAACTCGCAAACGTGGACTCTCTAGTAACCAACACACGTTTAGTTCTCAAGATGATATCCGGACTCACAGATTCATATGCTGGTTTTGTCACCTTTATCCAGCAACACGACCCTCTGCCCACCTTTGCAGCCGCCCAATCGAGACTGGAACTCGAGGAAACCACCATGATGCAGCGCGCAGCCCGCGAAACACACTCATCCTCTATCTCGGCCGCCCTCTTGGCTAAAGGTCCTTCGACCGAACCTACAATCAAACAACAAGATTCAGCTTCGAACCCGCAACCACATTCGTCCAACAATCGTAGTCAAAGAGGAAAGAAACCATACCGCGGAGGCCGAAATTCTGGGAGAGGAAACCGTGGACAACAACAACCACAGTGGAAGTCATGGAATTACCCTCCTAGCAACAATGGGGACCTTGGAATTACCCACCTTGCCCTTACCCAACATCCAATTGGAACAGACCCACTAATGGTCCTAAACCCCAACAAGGTGGAATTCTTGGCCCCAAACCTCAGCAAGCTGCTTTCAATGCCAACACTACCAGTCCAACAGATATTGAAAATGCTTTCAGCACCCTCAACCTTGCCCAGCCCGACCCGTCATGGTACATGGACACCGGTGCCACCTCTCACATGACTTCCTCGCAAGGTAATCTCTCGTCCTATTTTAAATTAAGCAAAGATAATAACGTCATTGTAGGAAATGGTCATTTTGTTCCAATTCATGGTCTTGGAAGCACACATTTAGCTAACCTCCACCCACCTCTTGTACTAAACAATGTTCTTCAGGCTCAAAATTTAATTAAAAATTTAGTGTCTGTTCGAAAATTCACTACAGATAATAAAGTTTCAGTTGAATTTGACCCGTTTGGCTTTTCTGTGAAGGATTTTCAGACGGGGATGCCTATCATGAGATGTGAAAGCCAAGGTGACCTTTATCCCATCACCAACCACAAGACCACAAATACAGCTAATCATCCATCCACTTTTGCAGCTTTATCGTCATCTGTCGGGCATAATCGTCTGGGACACCCGGGCGAACATGTTCTGTCTTTTCTTAGCAAAAATAAGTTGATTGAATGTAATACACCTAGTAAATTACATTCTCAATTTTGTAATTCACGCCCTCTTGGTAAACATATCAAATTGCCTTTCAAAAATTCTCTTAATAATAGTTCGATGCCATTTGACATTCTACATAGTGATGTTTGGACATCTCTCGTGTTAAGCTCAATAGGTCACAAATATTATGTTTTATTTCTGGATAACTATTCGAATTTTTTGTGGACATTCCCAATGTCTCATAAATCTCAAGCTTATCCCATCTTTCAAAAATTAAGAGCATATATCAAAACTCAATTTCAACGGGAAATCAAAACTATTCAATGTGATAATGGTGGCGAATACATTTCTAAGAATTTTCGACAAATGTGTGAACTTAATGGAATATCATTTCGTCTCTATTGTCCTTACACTTCCTCTCAAAACGGTAAAGCCGAGCGAAAAATACGGTCCATTAATAAGATTATTCGAACTTTATTAATTCATGCATCCCTACCACCTTCATTTTGGCATTATGCTCTAGAAATGGCCACATATATTTCCAACATTTTTCCTAGTAAACCAATTAAGTTTTGGTCACCTCTCCACATGTTATACAACAAGAACCCATCCTACTCTCATCTGCGTGTCTTTAGTTGTCTACGTTTTCCTCTATTTCCCTCAAGTACCATCCACAAATTTCAACCATGCTCCATACCATGCATCTTTCTTGGGTATCCGTCCAACCATCGTGGTTATAAGTGTCTAGATATGACCACAAACAAAATTATCATTTGTTGTCATGTATTATTTGATGAGTCTACTTTCCCATATGCAAAGCTGCACACCCCTCAATCTACCACTTACACCTTCCTAGACAATGACTTATCCCCTTACCTCATCAACCATATTATAACCCAAGACCAAAACAACTCTACATCCAATCCACCGATCTCCTCTCCCACTCAAACTACTTCCCATACTTCGGCCCACACCCAAACCTTGCCGAATACACCCCAATCAAATCCAACCTCAACCTTACACTCATCACCTCTCCCAACACAATCAAATCATACTCTGCCACATAATCTTCCTCCCATCTACCAACCTACCTCCCAAGCCAGCACAAAACCCACCACTAGAAGTCAACACGGCATCTTTAAGCCAAACCAAAAATATTACGGTCTCCGCACTCATGTCACAAAATCCCCTCTCCCTAGAAATCCAGTGTCTGCACTCAAGGACCCTAATTGGAAAATAGCCATGCATGATGAATATAATGCTTTAATTAAAAATGAGACATGGGATTTAGTGCCACGACCACCTGATGTTAATGTTATTCGATCTATGTGGATTTTTAGACACAAAGAAAAATCTGACGGTTCATTTGAGAGGCATAAAGCCCGACTTGTAGGTGATGGTGTAGGTCAACAGGTTGGCATTGATTGTGGAGAAACCTTCAGCCCCATTGTCAAACCGGCTACCATTCGCATTGTTCTCAGCCTTGCCATTTCAAAATCTTGGAATATTCATCAGTTGGATGTCAAGAATGCATTTCTCCATGGTGATCTCAAAGAAACAGTGTATATGTACCAACCATTAGGATTCCGAGGCTCCAAACATCCTGATCATGTATGTCGTCTTCGCAAATCTCTATATGGGCTTAAATAAGCCCCTAGAGCTTGGTACCAGAGGTTCGCCGACTATGCTTCATCGATTGGTTTATATCAAAGCAAAAGTGATCCATCTCTATTCATCTACAAGAAAGACTCTCATCTAGCATATCTCTTACTTTATGTAGATGACATCATCCTCACCACATCATTTGATGCTTTGCGGCAGTCCATCATATCTCTCCTCAGCTCCGAGTTTGCTATGAAAGACTTAGGACATCTCAACTACTTCTTGGGTATTGCTGTCACTCGCCATAAGCATGGCCTATTCCTCTCACAAAAGAAATATGTTGAAAACATCCTCTCACGGGCAGGAATGTCTTCCTGCAAAACTTTTCGAACTCCAGTTGATACAAAACCAAAAATGAGTGTCACGCATAATGTCCCATACGAGGATTCATCCCTCTATCGTAGTCTTGCAGGTGCCCTTCAGTATCTTACCTTCACACGACCTGATATCTCCTATGCAGTATAAAAAATTTGTCTTTTTATGCATAAGCCGATGGACACCCATATGCATGCTCTACGCCGGATATTACGCTACATTCAGGGCACAAAACACTACGGCTTACATCTATATCCCTCAACTACAACTTCATTAATATCCTATATAGATGCAGATTGGGGTGGCTTTCCTGACACTCGATGTTCCACTTTTGGCTACTGCGTGTTCCTTGGGGACAATTTACTTTCATGGTCATCTAAACGACAACCTACACTCTCACGTTCCAGCGCCGAGGCAGAATACCGTGGTGTAGCCAACGTGATATCTGAATCATGTTGGTTACGAAACCTTATGCTTGAACTACATTGTCCTATTCATAAGGCAACCATAGTACATTGTGACAACGTCAGTGCCATCTACCTCTCAGGTAA